AAAAAATATACGATGGGGATATTTATTGACCTAAAAAAAGCATTTGATACAATCAATCATGAACTATTATTGGATAAGTTAGAGAAATATGGGATCAGAGGAAATGTTTGGAAATGGATTAGAAGTTATTTGACACAGAGGCGTCAATTTGTGAAGTTGGGTGAATACCAATCGAGTGAGCTTGATATTGTATGTGGAGTGCCTCAGGGCTCTGTTTTGGGACCTAAATTATTTATATTATACATTAATGATATATGTAAGGTTTCTGAAATAGTCAAAGTGGTTTTGTTTGCTGATGATACTACCATTTGGGCATCTGATGAAAACCTACAGCAACTCGTGGGAAGGGTTTCAGAGGAATTTGTGAAGATAAAGAAATGGTGCGATAGCAACTTACCATCTTTGAATTTGGAGAAAACTAAATATATGGTATTTGGGAATCGTAGACCACATAATGAACTTCAATTGAAAATTGGGGGTGCTAACATAGAACGAGTACTATTATTGGGAGACTATTGTTGGACACTGATACGCGAGGCATCGGGCAGTGACTAGAAGTGAAAATCTGAGGCAAAACACTTTTAGATTTCTTTCATGTTGCTTGGGTATCGCATCGTAAATCGTATATCGTAGCGTAGGCCTGTGCTGCTAGAGACATAAATGCAGTTTTCTTAAAACCCCTGCGTGATACTGAAATTCCGATTACATATTTGTGTTCAGTGTAAAAATCTATTGGTTTCACCAAAAATTTTAGCGGAAACAAAAATTTTCATAAAATTTGTTGGCCAGTGTTATCAACTGTTCATCTGGGGCCCGTTTCAAGAAGGCGGTTTTGTCGAAACTCAGAGTTTGTTAACCCCGAAATGAGGGAAACTCTGAGTTTTCGGTTTCAGAGACGGAGGTAACTTAAACTCGTGAAAGCGGGGTAAGTTAAACCCGTTTCACAAAGAGAGGTAATCTAAACTCAGAGTCAGTTACTATGGCAACTTACTCTGTGAACCTAACCTGGTTGGGAGCAGGTTTTGTTCGGTAAACCCTGAGTTTCCTCCGGTCTCCGCCCCTTTTTAAAGTGAAAGGTGTTTAAATAGGCCTACCTCATTTAATCTTTCAGTACATTCATAGATTGCACATGTTTCCGTCACGCAGAGACCAAAATGGCATTTCCATTTATAGAGGATCCTGTAGATGAGGAGGCTGTATTAATTCGCAGGGAATTTAATTTACGTCAGGAGAGGATATTGAGGCCACAAGTTGATTTTTTGTCATATCCCCATGTATTTTTATTTGAGCGGTACCGTTTTTCTAGAGAGTCCATAACATATATCAATAATCTTATCCACCCATACATCAGACACATCACCCATCGTGGCCGTGCTCTTACATCCGAGCAGATGCTTTGTGTTGCGTTACGATTTGTTGCAAACGGCAGTTTTCTTTATAACATCGGGGATGCAGAGCACATTAGTAAGGCCACAGTATGTAGAATAGTTCGGAAAGTGTGCCGCGCCCTCAAGCGCTTTCTGTGAATTTTTGTTGTGTTTCCTGGGCACAAACCCCTCAGAGCCATTAAAGAGGAGTTTCACAGGATTGCAGGTTAGTGGTATTGAATTCGTTTCAGCAAGGCTAATCCGACAAATGATGATCAGTTAATAACATCTTGCTGTGACCTCTGGAAATAAACTAATAATTAGAATCCCCTTCAGGATTTCCTAATGCGGTTGGATGCATTGATGGCACACATATTCCCATCAATGCACCTACATGAAAATTAAAATTCAATTCTTATATTATTACATCAGTGTTGGGTCAATTTTAAAAAAGTATTTTGATTAATGTAATAATTACTCTCCATAAAACATACTGGATTATTTATTAATCATTACTTTACAAATCCCATATCAACCACAATAGGAATTTTAAGAAAGGGTAGACATAAAACTGCACTTTTAATTCGTACAAAAATCGGTATTTTATGCAATTACTGAAGTTACTCATTCAATTATTGAAGAATTAAGAACCATTCCTTACTTTACAAGTGACAAATAATAACATTACTAACATTATTTAGTAATTACTTACACCGAACACTGTATGATTAAAATGTAAACGTACCCATTGACTCGGGCAGCTATTTTCCCCCAAGCTAACTCTTTCTCTTTCGCCGCTGCAGCCGTGTTGTTTTTTTTTTTACGAAATATGGGCTCGTAGTCACTATATGCTTGTAGTAGCACATCCATTTCTGTCGGGGAAAAATGCGGACCTATTTTGGCTTGGTCCTGTTGCCATGGTGACTCGTAATTTCTTCACTCCATTGTTCAGGGCTTTTTATAGTCGCGTGGCACGCGCCTAACTCTGAGTCAAACAACTCAGAGTTGATTAAACCAACTCTTTTCAGCTGTTCTGAAACCGAAAACTCCAAGTTTTCCAACTCTGGGTAAGTCAACTCAGAGTTCAGGTTTGAACTCTTGAGTTTGTTAAACCTCCTTCTTGAAACGGGCCCCTGGTGACACATGCTTGACACATGATACTGTATCAGTGGTTGATGCTCCCATCAAGATATTTTTTTATAAAGCCGACTTTCACAACACAGTATTTAGTGTCTGTTTAATTGCATGATTATTCCTGTCATACACAAACATGGTAGGCTACGATATGTTCAAGTATACAGTGCTTTTTAGAATCAGCTAAGAAAATATGCTAAAAACATTGTCCACTCTCACACACGTTATGCAATTCCCCATGGCTTAACATTTCTGAGGAAATGTGTATAGCATCACCCCTGTCAGCTGAATTACTCAGAATATCCCCTCTGATTCAGATTGTATAAACAAAAAAAAGGAGTTACTTCTGTAAAAAACCATGCAATAGAGCACAAATGTATTAAAGCCTGTTCTTATTATCAGGACGTCAAATACCTTTTCCATCTCATACAGACACTAAAGAATACCTCTGGCTTTGAGGCACAGTTGTTTTCAGTTGGTATTTGACACAGAGCAACGAGACTGGTCACAGCACGCTCTCACCCCAGGGCATTGTTAGGTATTTTTAGTCAGATAGATATTGGATAGATACTTTATGTATTAGAAATGTTAGTGGAGATAGGGTGTCTAGTTAGACTGTTAAATGCTTAGGCCTGCTTATGAGTTTCTACAGGGTACATCTGGTCAAGGATAACTAGAGAGAAGAGTTGATGACTGTCAGCAGACAGGGTGTTTAATATTATTATGACATGTATAACTGTAGCCTTAGCCATAATATGTTATGTTTAAGTCACGACATGTACTAGAGGTCGTGAGAATGTTTTTAGCTACACACCACTTCACCAACAGACATACACATTCACACGTTGATTTGCTTCATGTTTTGACTACTGCTATGACCAGCTGCAGAGCTGGTAACAGACACATCTCGGTTGACGTTTCTGTGTAGTATGGGGCTAGCCCAACCGAGGGGATATAATGTATAGGCCTGGTGGGCTCAGGGTCTTCCATCTTACATCTGCCTGCGTGCATGGTGGAGGTGCAAGATACTTGAGTGTGTAATGTTAATTTTACCTGTGATCCTTTGAATAACTCAGCACTGTTTTGAAGTTACTTGGACTGCCTCATCTCTCAGAGTTAGCATGGTAAGACGGACCATATCCTACAGCATCAAGTAACAGAGCTTTCTTGTGAAATGCCAAAATGTTCTCCACAAAAGCTCAGTAGCTATACAAGACCCTGGAACAAGAATGTGTTGCATGTTACATCCTCTAAGGCAAAATGAGAAACAATCCTTCTAGTCAAAGGTGCAAATCGCTTCGACACCTGCATCAACTCCCCTGGGGGAGGTATGTGCACCAAGGTAACCAGAGAGGGAGGAAATTAACTGTGATCAATGGACATTTATGAATTCACAAATACTTATGATATACTGCAACTAACTGTGACCCAGGGACCACCAAAAGAGAGGGCCGCTGCAGTGGGGCGGATAAACTGGATGGGCACTATTCTAATCCTGAAAATCACCTTGCTTTTCTAAATGATATATATTTGCATGGACATGACATGATTATTCACAACAAAAGGTAATACGTGGAAACATGCTTCTTAGAGTAAATCTACATTATTGGTCACATGGGTCAGGGACCACTATCTGAGAACCCTTGACTTACTGCATCTCTTTACATCCTATGTAACATCACTTTATATAGAATTATTACACTATGAATTTTACAGGGAGCCCTACGTTTCTGATGAGCAGTCACCGGCCACATCAACCTGCCCAGTGTTTGTTGCTTTTTGCTTTTCTTTTCTCTCTCTTCTGTCCACTCACCTCAACCGGTCGAGGAAGAAGGCCGCCAACCAAGAGCCGGGGTCTGTCAGAGGTCTCTTCCTTTAAAGGGGAGTTTTTCCTCCCCGCTGTCGCAAAGTTCTGCTCAAGGGGGATTTGTTGGGTCTTTTCCACTATAATGATAATATTAATAATAATAAGAGTAGCAGTATTGTCTAGACCTTACTATGTAAAGTGCCCTGAGATGATTTTTGTTGTAATTTGGTGCTATACAAATAAAATAGAATGCAATTAAACTCCAGAAGCAGACTGTCAGGTTCATCTGATGCACAGACGATTCAGTGTTAGAGTAGAAAGAAAAAACATGTTTAAAAAGTTGATTTAAAAACCCACCAATAGCTTGGGGACTCAAAATGCAACGCATCCATCCATTAAATATACCACCTATCCAGAAGAGGGTGGTGGAGGGCTGGAGCCGATCCCAGCTGACACAGGGCGATAGGGTCCACCCCAGACAGGTCCATAAGCCAGATATGGATAAATAAAGCATGAAGTACATAGAGTATGTATGTGGTTTTTACAAACAAAGCTGTTTATTTTAAATTATTCTGTACACAGTATTTGAAGGAATAAGATCATACAGGGCCCAAAAGGACACCCCCATTAACCCCGTTAGCAAATATACAAAATAAGATGCTCAGTGACTAAATGCTTGTAACTTTCAGGGGTGGGAGAAAGCATCGAATCAAATCTTCCAAAACCATTCTAAATCGTTGTTTGGAACAATGGTGACAGAATTTAAAAAAGGCGGAACCCGACTGTGAAGTCAGTGCAGCACGTGGACGTTTTTTTTTTATTTTTTAGCTTACTACTTAATTGAATCGAAAATCATTCTGGATCGAATCGTGACACCAAGAATTGGAATCGAATCAAATCGTTGAGTCCGCCTAGGATTCCCACCCCCAGTATAATTACGAGAATAAAACTCACCGTCTTTTCAGAGAAAGACTGAAGCGTAACAGCACATGCACACTGGGTTATACTGTTCCCCACCATGTGAACAGTGACAAATGCTTAGCATCTGAATTGTCTGTACAAACTGGAGGTAAACTAAGCACCTAAGGCAAAATGCCTTCATCACAGACTACATGGACTAGCACCTTGTCTTTAAGTGCTTCGTTTTGTCTGTAGACATACATTGGAGTGTGGTGAGCAGGACTGGTTTCCCCACCCTTGTGCTCCTCACTGTTCTCTTTATCCTCCTCGGAGATCAGGTCATTGTAAGAGGCCACACAAAGATCGTGGTCCTGGAGTGACACAGGGTATCGGAGTGAGGCTCTCTCGATTCGCACCGAGCGTCTAACCGGGGTGAAAAAGCGGACTTCCTGTCCATTCACCCGCACTGGTTCTCTCTGTTGGCTTGGTGGGCCACTGAAAGGAGGGGGGGGGGAGGACAAAAATCAATCATAATTCTGAACAATGTGTGCAAATTAGTTCCTAAGTAACCTCACTAATTGATGGACCAATAGTAAACTGACCTTCAGACAGTTCGGGTCACACCTGCATGTTTTGTCCAGTGAGCTTATCTGGCATAAAGCTATTGTCTGATAAGGCTACGTGTAACTTTATCCAAGTCACACTATTCACTGTATATCCACAAACATTAGAACAGAATTTTAATACAAGATAAACACGTCAGATTTTATTAAGCAGTAAGAAGGAAGCATCATGCTTGAATCTTTCTTCTTTCAGATGTTTATATGGTGAAGACACTGATTTCTGTCCCTCGTTTGTCCTTTATTTAGCCATTACAAAAATTTGTGCAAGTTACTAATCTGAATTACTGCTAATGCTGTTAACTTATGTGTGAGGCTACAAAAATATGGAAAATGTCACTTTTCTTTCTTTTGTCACAGACAAGAGATTTTTTTACTTACAAAGCAGAACTAATTTTAACAAAACTAGCTAACACAATATGTTACAATTAAAAATGTAGTCAGTTGCTGGACACTGTAACGATTCAAACGCACCCAGGAGTGGCTGTGATCTTGTACTTGACTACTGATGAGTCTCCTTTCTCCCCGTGGATGAGGACTCTGGTGGGTTTAGGGGTCCTCAGGGGGTTGTTGTAGTCCTCACCAGTGCTTTCAATTTGGTCCTCCTCTGTCTCATTTTCCACAGATGCTGACAAAAACATGAACATCTAAAGTCAAAGTCACTTAAAACAGACTTGCACTTACAACAAAATGAGACCATGTTAGGTACCGATTGGAATCAGTTAATTTGCTTATTCATGACGTGAGTAATTGGAATGACACCACATGAGACATACAGGTCAGCTACCTTGGATCACTTCCTTTTTCTTCAGAATCTCAAAGACTACAGTCCGCAGCTCGTCCACTGGCTGGATGAAAAACATGGAACACAGAAAAGGATTTGTTCATTTTAGACGGGGGTCGA